CCAATTCCTACACCTCACTTCCGTCACCATACCCACGTCGGTCCGACATCACCGGACATCGACTGCCTCGCTGTCTTGGAGAAACTCGACGTTCTCGGCCATGGAAATGGTGGCATTGTGTACAAAGCCCGCTACAGGAAGAGCGCGTTGGTTACGCTCTCAAAGTCCTCCGTTTCGACGAAAACGCTGCCATCATCCGCCACCAGGTAGTTCGCGAGGTGGAGATCCTTGAACGCGTGGACTCGCCATTCATGGTAAAATGCCTCGCCGTATTCGACGCCATCGGAGGCGAGCTTTTGCTTCGTGATGGAGTATATGGAGAAAGGATCTCTGTTCGATGCATTGCGCTCAGGAAAGATTCTGCCGGAGGGTATCATCTCCGGCGTCGCGGAGAGAGTTCTCCTAGGGTTAAGTTACCTTCACGGCTTGCAAATAGTGTACGGTGACATCAAACCGTCGAATCCGTTAATCGACGGCAACGACGACGTCAAGATTGCAGACTTTGGGGTAAGCAAGATGGTGTTTGGCACGTGCAACGCGGGTGACACGTGCATGGATCCGTGCGCTTACAGGAGCCCAGAGCGGATTGATCCAGAGAGATGGGACGGGGACAAAGCCGATGGGTTCGCCGGCGATGTTTGGTCGCTCGGGATTGTGGTGTTGGAATGTTTTGTGGGTCGCTATCCGTTGATAGGAATCGGGGAGAAGCCAGATTGGGCGGCGTTGATGTGCGCCATATGCTTCGGGGAGAGGTTGGAGATGCCGGATCAAACGGCCTCGCCGGAGTTTAGAAGCTACGTGCGGAGGTGTTTGGAGAGGAATTGGAGAAAGAGAGGGACCGTGGTTGAGCTTCTGGATCATCCCTTCATCACGAATAGAAGATCTGCAGGAGGAGGAGGAGGAGGGTCTGATTAGAACAATTAAAATAGCTCTCCTTTTGCTAGAGCCATGCTTTTGCATTCTTGTCAAAATCTAGATTTAAATTTTAAAATCTTACGATTTTACGATTTCAACAAGACATTTTATGTAAAATATATATTAAAATCTGAAATTCATAAAATCTGAGATTTCACGCTAAAATCTAGATTTTACCGTGAATCAGGTAAAATCTCGATTTTATCTTATGTTTGGTAGCTGGACTTTTTGCCTATTTCCTTTTAGGCTTCTCATATTGGATTAATGAGTTTTGACTAGATAACCCATAAATTAAACTCATTTTTAATTTTAAAAGCCCACAACCCACAACCCACAACCCACACAACCCAACCACAAATCAACATTTTAATCGGAAATTTGGGACATATTTGATTTAACCATCTAAAATTCTAAATTTAAGTCATTTTCTTCATTTAATTTATTTGTGTTGTTGGATATTTAGATTTTAATTAGCTAATTTCAAGTTTCTAACTCTAAATTTGATTTATTGTTATTTAATTTT